CGTGGACTTGGTCAGCCGATCCACAATCACCCAAATGACATCAAACTTCCTCGAAGTCCGTGGGAGCCCAACTACGAAGTCCATGGTGATCCGCTCCCACTTCCACTCCGGAATCTCTATCTGCTGAAGCAATCCACCCGGTCTCTGGTGCTCATAATTTACGTGCTGACAATTGAGGCACTGAGCTACAAACCCAACTATATCCTTCTTCATCCGCCTCCACCAATAGTGTTGCCTCAAATCCTGTTACATCTTCGCGGCACCCGGATGGATGGAGTACCGCGAACTATGGGCCTCCTCTAGAATGAAGTCCCGAAGCCCATCAACATTGGGTACACAAACTCGACCCTGCATCCTCAATACCCCGTCATCACCAATGGTCACATCTCTGGCATCACCTCACAGAACCTTATCCTGAGGACAAGCAAATGAGGGTCATCAAACTGACGCTCCCGGATATGATCAAACAAGGAAGACCGAGAAACCACACAAGCAAGGACCTGGCTAGGCTCCGAAAGATCCAATCTCACAAACTGACTGGCTAAGGCCTGAACATCCATTTCTATGGGCTTCTCTGCTGCTGGTAAATAGGCCAAACTCCCCAAACTCTCCGCCCGCCGACTCAAAGCATCGGCCACCATATTGGCCTTGCCCGGGTGATACAAAATAGTGATATCATAGTCCTTCAGCAGCTCTAACCACCTCCTCTGACGCAAATTAAGGTCCTTTTGCTTGAACAGATGCTGCAAACTCCAGTGATTGGTATAAATCTCACAAGGCACACCGTATAAATAATGACGTCAGATCTTCAAGGCGTGAACAATAGCAGCTAACTTGAGATCATGGACAGGATAATTCTTCTCATGTACCTTCAACTGTCTGGACGCATAGGCAATCACCCTACAGTCCTGCATCAATACCGCTCCAAGGACAACCCTCGAGGCATCACAATAGATAGTATAAGACCCCAAACCGGTAGGCAATATCAAAACTGGGGCTGTAGTCAAAAGCTGTCTCGAGCTTCTGAAAGCTCTCCTCACACTCTTCCGTCTACTGGAACGAAGCACCCTTCTGGGTCAGCCTGGTTATAGGTGCCGCAATAGATGAAAATTCCTAAACAAATCGACGGTAATAACCCGCCAAGCCAAGAAAACTGCAGATCTCTGTAGCTGAGGATGGGTTGGGCCAACTCTACACTGCTTTCACCTTCTTTGGATCTACCTTCATTCTCTCACTAGATACCACATGACCCAAGAATGCCACAGGATCCAACCAAAACTCACATTTCGAGAACTTGGCATATAACTTCTTTTCCGTCAAAGTCTGAAGCACTGTCCTGAGGTGCTGCTCAAGATCTTCCCGACTCCGGGAATATACCAGAATGTCATCAATAAAGACAATGACGAATGAGTCAAGATATGGCCGGAGTACACTGTGCATCAAATGCATAAAGGCTGCTGGGGCATTGGTCAGCCCAAATGACATATCAAGGAACTCGTAATGACCATACCGAGTCTTGAAGGCAGTCTTCGGGATATCTGGCTCCCGAATCTTTAACTGATGATAGCCTGAACGCAAGTCAATCTTAGAAAACACACAAGCACCCTGTAACTGATCAAACAGGTCATCAATATGAGGCAAAGGATAACGGTTCTTCACTGTAACCTTGTTCAACTGGCGATAATCAATACACATACGCATAGAACCATCCTTTTTCTTCACAAACAAGACAGGAGCACCCCAAGGTGATACACTAGGCCGAATGAAACCCTTATCAAGCAATTCTTGTAACTACTCCTTCAACTCCTTCAACTCAGGAGGAGCCATACGGTATGGAGGAATAAAAATGGGCTGAGTGCCCGGCAACAAATTAATGCCAAAATCAATATCTCTATCGGGCGGCATGCCCGAAAGGTCAGCTAGAAACACATCAGAGAAATCCCGCACTACTGGGACTGAATCAACTGTAGGGATATCAATACTGACATCCCTCACATAAGCTAGATACGCGTCACACCCCTTCTCAACCATACGCTGAGCCTTAAGGAACGAAATAACTCTACTGGAAGTATGATCTAATGTACCCCTCCACTCTACTCGCGGTACATCTGGCATAGCCAGCGTCACGGTTTTTGCGTGACAATCAAGAATAGCACAATGGGGCGACAAGCAGTCCATGCCAAAGATAACGTCAAAGTCTACCATGCTGAGCAATAACAAATCGGCTCTGGTCTCAAAAAAACTAAGAGCAATCAAACACGACTGATAAACGCGGTCCATAATAAGAGAATCCCCAACAGGAGTAGAAACATAAACAGTAGAACTCAAAGAATCCCGAGATACGCCCAAATACGGGGAAAAATAAGAGGACACATAAAAATAAGTGGAGCCTAGATCGAATAAAACTGATGCATCTCTATGACAGACCAGGATAGTACCTGTGATGACAGAATCGGAGGCGACAGCCTCAGTACGGGCAGGAAGGGCATAGTATCTGGCCTGGCCTCCCCCTCGAGGGTGACCTCTACCTCCCTGACCTCCACCTCTAGCTGGCTGAGCAGGTGGGGTAGCAACTGGTGCTGTGATCATAGCCTGAGAACTCTGCAGAGCACGCTGTGGCTGAGAAGTCTGTGAAGGTGCACCCCTCCCAAGTCTAGGGCAATCCCTCACCATATGACGTGTGTCACCACACTCAGAACAAGCTTTGGGAGGACGTGGTGGCAGTGACTAGCTCGGGCCAGGTCTGCTGGACTGACCACTGGAAGCACCTCGCGCAGGAGGCGCACTAGATACTGGAGGTGCATAATAAGGCTCCTGAGGTCTAGGAGGAGCTAAAATACCACTGGCTGCTGGAAGAGCTGAATGAACGGGGCGACTCATATAACCCCTACCATGACGAGCTAAACTGGGGCACGGGCACCAGAATAATGGCCCGACTCTCGAGACCTCTTGGCCTCCCTCTCCTCTCTGTCCCGAGCATGCATACCCTCTACTCTCCTAGCAATGCTCACCACCTGCTGATAAGAAATATCCATCTCCAACTCCCGAGTCATAATAGACTTGATGCTGGGAATGAGCCCCTCAATAAATCGGCGAACCTTCTCGCGAACAGTAAAACCCAAAGCTGGTGCATGTCTAGCCAAGTCGGTGAAACGGACAGCATACTCCGAGACAGTCATAGTACCCTGGCGCAAATGCTCAAACTCTGCGCCCAAAGCGTCCCTGAGGCTCTTGGGAACATACTCTCTCGTGAACATATCTAAAAACTGAGTCCAAGTCAGGGAAGCTGCCTCATCCGAACTGTCTAACTCATAAGCATGCCACCACTGATAGGCGGCCCCTCGAAGCTGAAAGGTAGTGAAGGAAACCCCGCTCGATCCTGATATAGCCATGGTACGGAGGATACGGTAGCACTCCTCTAGAAATCCAAGAGCATCATCTGAGGCTAGTCCACTGAATGTAGCATGCTGATACTTCTTGAACCTCTCAAGCCTCTTCTGCTCCTCCTCTAAAGCTACTGCCCTCTCCTCTGGCTGAGATGGGGCTACAGGCTATGCCGGTACAGGCTATGCACTCGCTGCTTAGGAGTGCGGGCGGCGGGAGTCTATGCTCCTCCCTCGGCTTGGGATGTGGCTGTAGCAAGGGGAAGCAACCCTACCTGAGCTAGAGTGGTGTACATAGTCATAAACTGCGCCATAGTCTCCCGGAGTGCTGGAGTAGTAGTAGCTGTGGGCGTATCAGGCGCCTGGGCTCCAACTGGAACTGTTGGTGGCTCCTCTGTAGCAGCTCGCGCGGGTGCTCTGGCTGTACCGCGTGCGCGTCCTCAGCCTCTACCCCGGCCCCGACCTCTGAAGGCTCTCGCAGGGGGCGCGTGTGTCTGGTCACCTCCAGTAGCACGTGTCCTCACCATCTGTGAGAGAATAGAAGACAGAAGTTTAGAATTTCGATACCAAAGATCTCGCACGACAAGGATTTCAAATGAAGTGAAATTTTCTTAACAGTTACATAGCCTCTCGTGGATAAGCACAGACGTCTCCGTACCGATCCGCAAGATTCTAATAAACCGGCCTGTGATTCATGACTCCTATGAACCTAGAGCTCTGATACCAACTTGTCACGACCCCAGTTCGCCCTCCGTGAACTATCATGACAACACCTAGTCTCTACGACTGGGTAAGCCTAACAAATTGCGGAAAAAGAAACAACAGAATAAAAAAAGCCAAAAACTGCGGAATAACATACTGAAACATTTAAGATGCCGCTCGGCATACACAATACAAACTCTCAAACTGAAACTACATTTCCCAAAACCCGGAATCTCATGAAATCACAAGCTGTGGAATAACTACAAAGTGCTCTAACTCCAGAGTGTCTAAACAAAAGAAGAAATACAGAAGGGCTATAACTAAAAGAGAGAGTAGATAGGGACTCCTCGGTCTGCGGACGCGGCAGATATACCTCAAATTCTCTATAGATCGCCTCATCTCGCTAACGATATGGCTGAGTCGATGTACCTGGATCTGCACACGGAAAATATGTGCAGGAAAGGGCATGAGTACACCACAGCGGTACCCAGTAAGTGACAAGCCTAACCTCGGTCGAGTAGTGACGAGGAAGGTCAGGGCCCTACCGGTCATATACAATAATATATAAGGAAGATGAGCAGTAGTAAAGAAATACAGATAATGAGAGAAACAACAACCACAACCAAGGCAAATAATCATAAAAGGTATACAACTCAACATAGAGATAACAACCGGAGGTCAACCAGGATCCCGTCCTATAGCCCCAAAAGTAAATAATTAGTTGATCTCCCGGGTGTCGTCTCTTAGTCCATATCACTGTGCAGGGGGATCTATCGGAATACCACATCCGTAGTCCCAAATAAAATAGACAAGGGGGATCTACCGGGAACCTCCCATAGTCCCAATGTAAACACGCAACAACAACAGAAGAATAATCAACTCAAACCAATTTAATGTCAAAATAGACAGGTAATTCTAACCTTGCATACTGCACAGAGTTTAGATAAGACAGTTTGAGCAAGTAAGCAATTTACTCATTTAGGCATGCTTTCCTAAGCTAACAGTAAGCTCAAAGTTCAAGTAGTGTAAAACAGTGAAGTAAAATACGAAGTATAGGTACTTAAATGAAAAATAAGATTTTCAACAATCAGCACAAGTACGCGTTCGTCACCTCACGTACAAGGCATTTCAAATATCACAGTACCAAATCCTAAGGGGAGTTCCCCCACACAAGGTTAGACAAGCCACTTACCTCGAACTGACTCAAAATCAACCCGAAACCACGTTCTTGCCGTGAGTATCCGACTCCAAATGGAACAAATCTATTCAAAGTAGTTGTATAATGTAAATAACACTTCAAGTAACTAACTCAACTAATTAATTCTAAGCTAATACGCGAAATTAGAAAAAATGACCAACCCCCCCCCCCCCCGAGCCCACGTCTCGGAATCGGGTAAGATTTACAAATTCGGAATATTCACACTATCACGAGTTCAGTCATACCAAAAGTACCAAAATCGGACCCCAAATGGTCCCTCAAATCACCACTCAAAGCTCTCCAATGAACCAAGCCCTAACCCACAATTTACCACTGATTTTCCCCTTAAATTTCATGCTAACAACGATAAAAATCACCACCATAATAACGATCTTAGGAACCAAGGACCTTACCTCAATGAATCCCTCTGAAAATCTCCCTTGAAATTCGCTCTCCAAAGCTTGTTCCCGTTGAAATATTATGAAAAATAACCCAAATTCGCGAAGGAAATCTTTGTATACTTTCTGGCCCAGGTTTCTCGCAACTGCGGTCCATTTCCGCTTCTACGCTACCGCTTCTGCGGTTTTCACTTAAGTCCCCTTTTCTCCGCACCTGCGACCTAGATTCCGCATCTGCGGTCCCGCAGGTGCGGCACACCTCCCGCTTCTGCCGTCTCTGCTGCCTTCACCTGTGGCCGCATCTGCGGCATTGATCTCGCTTCTACGGTCATCGCACCTGCGGCCCCCTAACCGCAGGTGCAGTTATGACAGAAAAACTCAGCAGCTTCAGCATCAAATTCCCAACTCCAAACTCCCTATTAACCATTCGAAATCACCCCGAGGCCCCCGGGACCTCAACCAAAAGCACGAACAAGTCATTCATCCGTGCAGGTAGAAAAAGGCGGAGGTCAAGCTATGGGCACAAGGAGGTAAGGTATAGTAAGTTACTGCTTCGTCTTTTGCTTGCTCCTTTAGAACTTCTTATAAAGTGGAAGGGTAGGCCTTTGGCACCAAAAAGGTGAGTATCGAAATTAGTTTACCACTATCCAAACTTATACAAATCTTCAAAACACCTCAAACAATATCGAATCAACCAAATAACATCGGATTCAAGCCTAAGGTTCCAAGAATCTTCCGAATTTCGCTTTTGATCAAAAAGTCTATCAAACCTTGTCCGAATGACTTGAAAGTTTGCACACACGTCCCAAATTACACAACGAACCTACTCTAACTTCCGGAAATTCCATTCCGACCCTGATATCAAAATCTCACTATCGAACCGGAAACTTCAAAAATTCAACTTTCGGCATTTCAAGCCTAATTAAGCTACGAACCCCCAAAATACAATCCGAACACGCCCCTAAGCCCGAAATCACCCAACGGAGCTAACGGAACCGTCGGAATTCCATTCCAAGGCCGTCTTTACACTGCTCTGACTACGGCCTAAATTCTAAAGCTTAAACTCTCATTTAGGGACTAAGTGTCCCAAAACTCTCCGGAACTCCATATAAACCCTCCCAGCAACTCACAATAGCAGAAACAAACACAGAGAAAGCAATTAATAGGGGATCGAGGCGTAAATTCTTAAAATGACCGGCCGGGTTGTTACAAGGGCATTGGTGACATATATCGGGAGATTCGGGTTTGGTATTTGGTTGTCCATTCTGGACAGTATGGATGGATGTTGGTGAGGGAAAGCTGATTCAGTGGTATTCTCCTGCGTGTGAGGGGTTGTAGTGGATTCATATTGTGAAGGGGAAGATGTAATGACAAGGAGGGATTGGGGTTCGTGAGGCAATGATTGAGTATCTATTATAGGAGATTGAGTTTGCATGTTTTGATCAATTACTTTCAACCATGGGTTATCCGTAATTGGGGAGTTGGTTTGCATGGCCACGTGGCAGGAATTAGATGACAAGTTATCTAGGGATGTATTAGGGGAATTATGAGTCATTAGTGGAAGAGGAGATGGCACGCTTGTTAGGTGATTAGGGGGTGGGGCCGCTGTTTTACTTTGAGTGGTATGGCTGCATGCAGCCTTTTGGCCACGTGGAGACCCAAGTTGGGGAGTAGGGGAAGGGTTTCATAGAGGAAAAGAATGAGCAAGTTCTGCGAATTGGTTATGGATTTTTCCATCCAAATCCATTAGGACAGATTCATCCACAGGTGTTAAAACATTATTTTCAGTGTGTAGAGATGAAAACTTATTAGAGGTGTGAATAGACGTGGTAGTATTTGTATTAAGATTGTTAGTCTTTTTAAAAGATTTATAGTTTGTCCCATTCTTGAGTAGTATCAGTGTTTTTAGGCTTAAAAGCTAGTTTTTGAGTATTTAGAAATTTACCTGATGTTACATCAAATATATTGACATTGATACCTGGTGGTGTTTCTTGAATTTTGACCTTTGGTGAATTGGCAGTGTATCGTTTGTGTTTGTTCCCTTTGGGAAATGACACTGTTTGCCATTGATCCTCAACTGCTTTCCCCTTGTCTGTGGAGTTGGAGGAGATGACCCAGGGGCCTTCTTGTGTGTGCTTCAGTGTGTCTATTGTAGGGTAGGAGCATGATGGTGCTTTGTGACCCAGTCTACCACAGGCCTTACATAAAAAATTCTCACCTTCATACAGTAGTTGTTGTATATGAGAGCCAATTTGAATTGCCGTTTGGACCGGCTGGTCTAGTGGTACTTGCACACATAGTCTCGCATATCTTCCTCTGATTGTTGAGCTTGTACAAGCATCTACGCGTAGCAGCTTGCCAATTGAGTTTCCAATCCTTCCAAGCACTATTCCATCATAGAACTCTGTGGGTAACTGTGGAAGGTGAACCCAGACAGCTGAGTAGACTTCTTTAGCTTTGCTAGAAACAAAATTAGGCCCCCACCTTCGAACAGAGAGATAATGTCCATTAATAAACCAAGGGGCCTGTTGTAGAGCTTTTGCCATATTTTCTTCCTTGGTAAACTTAACTACGTAGAAGTCTGATCCTAGGTCTATTAACGAAAAGGGTTCATTTGGTTTCCAAAGGTCTTAGATATTTTTTTTGAGGTACTAGTGGACGACTCTTTTACCTAACAGTTTGATTATCAAAGAGAACTGACAGGGTGTGTACATTCTTCCTCTGTCTTCATCTGTTAGAGAAATTTATTTTAATTAAGAGGAGAGAGGTTCATGGGAGGAGTCATCCCTCATTGGCTCAGAATAATCAAACATATTGTTGTTTGAATTAATTGGAGCGTCCGTTATATTTTTCTGGGAGAGTAATTTGTCTTTGAACGAGGCATCGGTTAGAGTAATAGGGGTGGAGTGATTATTGGACATTGAATGATCAATAAATATGTCTGGTGGTTTAGGTGGAATGGGAGTCTGAGGTGAATTTCTAGGGTTCATTCCTGGGAATTGTTTGTAGTGTTCAAGGGTGTGGGTGAGCAGAGAAAGAGGAAAGAGAATTTTCTCTCTCTATTTTAAAAAGGAATTCATTTCAAATGTTTTACAGAATACTCGTAAATAATTACTAGTAGTCGTACCCGCGCGATGCACGGTCAGTATTAAAAAATATTAATTAAATTAAATTATGATAGGGCTTATTTGATCCTATTAGATTGTATTGCTTTAATAAAATTCAATTGTCATCTTACTTGTCAATACGATATACCCAATAATGAAATCTCTATTAAATCAAAGGTACTTATATAGTTAGTGAATAATTTTTTTGTTCTATATATTTTTTATTATTTTAACCAATATTTAATATTCGCTTTCCTTTTGTCATATATGAGAAGATTTATAATTATTACTGTTGAAATATTTTTTTTATTTTAAATTTTATTCTATTGTTCTTAATAATATTATCTAAATTTTAATGAATAAAATCTCTGTTAAACTAACGGGACTTATACAGGAAGCGCATTGAATAACTTTTTTGTTATGTATTTTTCTTTATTATCATCTAATATTTAATATTATTACATTGTTAATAGAAAGTTTTATTAGCATAGTACTTTATTAAATATTTTTCTCTGAAAGTTTTTTATGTCTTTATTTTCGTTTTATTTATTTTAAAATAATTTTAAAACTCCAACTTGAAACTAACCCCCAATTTGAATTGTTAATTTATTATTTTTTTAATTTTGGTTTTTTATTTTAAAATTATTTTAAAACTCCAACTTGAAACTACATTCCCGATTTGAATGGGTAGTTTTTCTTCTCTTTCTTTCGTTTTTTTTATAGCTAATTTTTTTTTTGCTTTTTTATTTTAAGATAATTTATAAACTCCAACTTGAAACTACTCCCACCCAATTTGAATGGGTAGCTATTATTTTATATATTTATTTTTTGTTTTTTTAATTATAGTTAATTATATGATATCTATATTTATTAATTCAAATAAAGTAATCAATTAAAATATATATATATATATATATATATATATATATATATATATGTGTGTGTGTGTGTGTGTGTGTGTGTGTGTGTGTGTTAGTTTTTATTTTATTTTATTATTTTCATTTTTATATTATAATTTAAATTCAAAAATATTAACCAATAACTTTTGTTCTATATTTTTCTTTATTATATTAGCCATTGTTTAGTATTCGCTTTCTTTTTGTAATATATGAGAAGATATATAATTTATTACTAATAAAATATTTTTCCCGGTAATTATATTGAAGCGCATAATTGGTTGAAGATCACGAGACGTTTCGAATAAAAGAAGATCCCGTTTATTTATTATCCTTTATTTATATTTAGAATCTTAGTCTATTATTTTTGATTTTTTTATTTAGAATTTAGATATTTGTTATAATTTATTGTTTGTTGGACCTATCAGATCAGTTAACAGATCTCGCAGGAAATACCAAGTTGGCTACGTCACGTCTATGCTTACTATTTTTTCAGTTTGGGAACTCTGGAAGGAAGGCAATAGCAGTAAATTAGAAAACTCAATATCTCAACCGGCTGCTATTATTCAACAAATTACGGACTGGCTGAAAGACTGTTCTCAGCTTCTTGACATCAGATCATCTTGGACGTTTACTGATTCTATTCTTCTGGATGTTTTAAATTTTATTCTGTTGTTCTTAATAATATTATCTAAATTTTAATGAATAAAATCTTTTTTAAACTGTCGGGACTTATACAGGGAGCGCATTGAATAAATTTTTTGTTATGTATTTTTCTTTATTATATCATCTAATATTTAATGTTATTACATTTTTAATAGAAATATTTATTAGCATATTACTTTATTATTAAAAGGAGAGGGCTTTTTCCTCTCCTTTTAATAATATATAGATTATAAGATATCTATATTTATTAATCCAAATAAAGTAACCAATTAATACATATATATATATATATATATATATATATATATATATGGTAGTTTTTTATTTTATTTTGTTATTTTCGTTTTATATATATTTAAATTCAAAAATAATAACCAATAACTAATTATAAACTAAAAACTAATTATGCCATGTGGCATTTTTTTAGGTTGCCACTTGGCTTAAGGAGAGGGCTTTTTCCTCTCCTTTTAATAATATATATAGAATATAGATATGGCTTACTTTAATTTACTCTTCCTATATATGCAACTATTTTTATAATTCAATTAAATAGAAAAAAGATTACACATGCTTACTTTAATTTGCTCTTCCTATATATGCAACTATTTTTATAATTCAATTAAATAGAAAAAAGATTACACATGTTTCAAGTTTTTATCTTAGCTAAAGTATCCATTTCTGACGAGATAATATGAAAATTCCAATAAACAATTTTCTAGATCACCTTCACACGAAGTTGTTTCAGCACTTATGAACTTCATTATTTTTCTTTTAACTCTATTTGACATAAAAAATGGAAAAAAAATTCAGGCGCCCCACAAGTCTGATAAGATATACTCCATTCCTCAATCCGTATGCCGAAGATTGAAATATTATATTAGTGAGTCAGTGATATATTTAAATTTTCAAAGGAAAAAAAAAGATATTTTTCACATAATACTGTCATAAAAAATAAGCGTAATAATCATATGCGTGTAAAATGAGGCCAAATGTTTATTGGTGTTGAGTTTTAAAATTGAACCACCAATTTTCTGGCAAAACAAAACGGAAAACAAAACTTTCTACTAGTAATAAAATTTGATATTTATTCAACAAGATTGAAGAGAAAAAGACGAAAAAAGAAAACGAAATGACAAACAAATAAAAGGCACTCGAGTGTTGATACAGGTCACAGTAGTAGTAGTAGTGTACTTACGCACGTCCACTACTTAAGCAGTTGTATTAGGAACTAACTATACATGTTAATTAACTCTTAATCATCTTCTTAATTCTCCATGCACCTTTCACTTCCACTCCATAATTCCAATGCCTTCACATTCACCGCCACCGTCACCTTTTCCGGCATCTCCACCGCCGGAAGGTGAAAATGGTATCACTTTACCACCACTGTATTCAACAGCCACTCCTAAACCGCCGCCAACAGTCGTGAACTTTTCACTTTCACAACCAGCGCCGTCGCCGGCTCCGTTATCCGCGGACGTGGCATTGAAGCCAATATTTGAACCTATTGATTACAAAGTAACTTTACAACCACCACCGCCGGCGATATTTACTCCTCCGTTACCGATGCCTATTCCAGTACTTTCAACACCACCGCCGCCGGTAACGGCGTTCTCGTTTCCTGCAAATGATTCGTCAACACCAGTTTCTGATGAAACCTCGCCGCAGCCGCCGCTTAAAGTTCACTCGTCGTCAAGTACATCAATCGGAGGAGTAATTGGAATTTCTGTAGGCGTCACCGGAGCTTTCTTCATTGTTGCTGTAGTAATACTTTTCGTTTGTTACAGGAATAAGATTAAAAATGGAAAATTACACGATCATGAATCTCCACGGCAAAAAGGTAAGCTTTTTCTGTATCGTACGGAGGAAAATATTTTAATTTAAATAAATTTTTATTTTTTTTTAGTGTTTGGTTGAATATAATTTAGTCACCTGCTTACATGTCAATATATCATAACAACAAAATGTTCTCTAATTTGTTATTATTTGAAATAAGTGATACTACAGTAAAAATTATAACATTTGAAAAAGAAAACTTCCAACCTATAAATAAAGGAAGTTTCCTGAAAATAATTTTTATCATGCCAAATCCTCTACCGGTTTTAGGATCTCTTTTTCTGTATTCATCAAGCTTTTAGTATTCTATTTATTAGCAGTTGTTTATTTCCTTGCTAGCCTGACATTTTGCAAAGAAATGTTGGTTTAGAGTTGTTACTTTATCTGGCAAACTTTTGCTATTTCGAAGATAATCTAATAGCTATTTAACTATATTATTCTTGTCTTATGATTTAGTAGGGATACAAATTATTATTAATCCTATTTCCATATTAAGTAATGACTTTTACCTCTACATTCAGCTATTGAAAATTTAATTATCGAAGTTAATCTAAAAGAAGTGTAATGTCTGGTAAAAGGTACTTTAGAAACCAAAGTCATTATTTCCGGAAATGTGACAGTTAGGAACATTAATCTCCTAAATGGAAAACTTTCCGTCTGACCAGATATAATGCTCAAATGTTGTATAGGCAGACTCCTTTGCTTAGAATTTGTTTCCATTGATTTCAAATTGCATTCTGTAGAATGGTGTTTAAATTGTTGATTATAAATATTAGCAGCTTAATCTATCAGCACGAGTTCAAAATTGTTGTTCCCTAAGATTTATGAGTTCAACTTGGTATTTTCATTTGCTAATTGTTTCGGTTGATTCATCAGATGACTTGTACCATGATCTGCATCAAAGTTTTAAACAGCATAATGCAGCAAATGGTTCTCCTGTTTCCCCCAAGCAAGTGATACCCTTCCGTCCACTTCACTGCTTTGACAACAATGCTCATTCCAATAATCTTGATGTTGAAACTCGTTTTTCACCAAAAGACC